AGTCGGACGCTCAACCGACTGCGCCACCCAGGCGCCCCGAACCCGTCCCAGTCAAGTGGCCCCTCGGGTCTGCCCGAGACGCCGCCCTGCTCACCCGCTCCCTCCCTCCCGCCCCGCAGGTTCTCCGGGGTTTGGCGTATCTCCGGGAAAAGCACCAGATCATGCACCGAGGTGAGCGGGCCGGGGCGTCTAGGCGGCGGGCGGGCCAGCCGGGCCGGGCCCCCCTCACCTGCAGCTGCTTCTGCCGGCAGACGTGAAGCCGTCCAACATCCTCGTCAACTCCCGAGGGGAGATCAAGCTGTGCGATTTTGGGGTGAGCGGGCAGCTCATCGACTCCATGGCCAACTCCTTCGTGGGAACTCGGTCCTACATGTCTGTGAGTCTGTCCGGGAGCCTGAGGGCGTCCGTACCCTCCCCGCTCCTGTCAGCTCTTCCCCGTCTTCCAGAAGCTTTTCAGAAGCGTGCAGTTCTCCGCCACACGCTTTGTGTCCCTGCTGGGCCCCTACTTCCCGTCCAGATTCCAGCGACCTTGTCTTCTCCCTCGGGGCCTTCTCTGGAAACACCTGCCTCGTTCCTTTCCGCCAGCATCAGAGACTAAGTGCAGGGCTGTGGTCAGTTAGAAACTGGCCCTCAGGTGTTTTCAGAAACATCCGGGGGTCTCGGGAGCAGACTCTGAGAAGTTAGTCTTGGGATCGTAGCAGAGTCTACACTCTGCCTCTTCGTGGGCTGGTCACCCTTTTCCAAAAGTGCCAGAGGTTCGGGTCTCGAGTGCTGTTTCAGCCCCGGCTGGGAGCCTCGCTGTCCCAAGGCGGTGGAGCGGGGGATGGAATTGCCTTCTTTGCATTGCCGGCCTCTGGAGGGTGGCGGGGCCAGGATGGGGACGCTAGGGTCCAGCTTCCGTCTGGGCGTTTCTTTGCTCCTTCTCCCCCGACAGCCAGAGCGGTTGCAGGGCACTCACTACTCGGTGCAGTCGGACATCTGGAGCATGGGCCTGTCCCTGGTGGAGCTGTCCATCGGAAGGTACCCCATCCCCCCGCCGGATGCCAAGGAGCTAGAGGCCATATTTGGCCGGCCCATGGTTGACGGAGCAGAAGGAGAGCCTCACAGCATCTCACCACGGCCGAGACCCCCTGGACGCCCCATCAGCGGTACGGCCTGAATCTGGAACTTTGGACTGGACGGGCAGTGTTACCCGTCCAGGGTATCCCGGGGCACCTGAGGCTTGTGGGGACGGCCCCCCAGACACGGTCCTGTCCACCACGGGGTGTCCTGGGCACCTGAGGCTTATGGGGGCGGCCGCCCAGACACGGTCCCATCCAGGGGCAGCTGCACGTGTTAACCAGCTGTGGGGCATCTAGAAACTAACCTCTCGGTCAAACTGTCGTTTGGGTGGTTTTTCCAGCACTTTATTCCGGAAACGCTCAAATGTAGAGAGAGGCCCACGGGGATTGCCCAGTGAGCACCCATAGGCCCACCGCCTGGACTTTGGGCGAAGGCTCTGCCGTTCGGAAACCGAGACTGACTCAAGTCAGACCCCCTCGGCTGGTCTGCCGGATTCAGTCCCGACACGCAGCGCAGGAGGGAGCAGGAGGCTGGGGGGCGCGGGGGGCCAGCTGGGCTCCCAGAGGACTCTCCGTACCCGCGGCGGTCACCTGTGCGGTGGGGGGCTGCCCAGGGCCAGAGAGCTTCAGGCTGGCCCTTTGGCCGCTTTGGAGGGCGAGGGCGAAGGGTCACGCAGCGTAACTAGGAAACAGCGCTCAGGGCTCTGCTGTCTTTCTTTTCCTTAAGTCAGGTGACAGGAAGGGAGCGGAGGGAGTCTGGAGGAGCGCGCCGTGGACAGCGGCTGGCCTGTGCCTTTGCTTCATACCAGCTTTACAGAGAGACGTCACACACCGTGTGACTTACTAGCTTAAGGGGTGCAAGCCAGTGGCCGTGTCTTCACAAGGCTGTGCAGCCGTCACCACTGTCTGGTTCCAGAACGTTCCATCACCCTGAAAAGAAGCCCCATCCCCGTCAGCCGTCACCCCCGCCCCAGCCCCTGGCAACCACGAGCCCCCTTCCCGTCCGTGGACGAGCCCGTTCCGGACGTTTCACACCCGCGGACTCCCAGCCCGCGTGGCCTCTCGTGTCTGGGTCCCTCCCTGAGCGGCGCGTGTCCGGGGTCTGTCCGCGGGGCGGCGGGGGCGGGCGCCTCGCTCCTGCTGGCGGCCGAGTGTCCCTGTGTGTGGTGCTGTGTCTTCGCTGTCCACAGGCGCCGGCAGTCCAGCAGCGGTTTGTGAGCCCGGCTCCTCTCCTCTCCTGGTGCCAGACCCAGGGGGTCCGGGTGTCCTGGTTTTCTCCCGTCTCCCGCCCCCGTGTGTGTCCTCGGGCCCTGGCTCCGTCCCTCCCAGCACCAACTCCCGGATGGCATCGCGGGCACTCCGCCGAGGCCCCGTCCCGGCAGGGAGAAGCCGCAGGGGGTGTCGTGCCAGGCCGCCTCGGCCTGCCAGCGCCTCCCCCAGCCCCAGCTCACGTGCCCGTTTCAGGACAGGGGACAGGAGGCGAAAGTCCAGCGGCCAAACCTGGCCCTGGCCAGCTGGGCCAAAGACAAGGGTCAGCTACCCCCAGCCGCTCATCCGTCCTGGGCGGCGTCTGGGGCCTGATGCCGCCTTTGCCCGCGGCTCCGAGCAAGGTCACGCTGCCGTCCTTGCTCGTGGTCACCCCCCACCCCCTGCCTGTGCGCTAGAAAGCAGGGGCTGTGACTTTGGCACAGCCTGGAGGCAGCACCGTGCCAAATGTGTGACTTCTCAAAAAACACTCCTGTTCGTTTTGGCGTCTCGTCTTATTTTCTTTTGTTAAGTCACGGGAGGCTCAGGAGAGAAGCCGCTTTGCTAGGGAGGCAGGCACAGTAGCCGGGGGCACGGCCAGGCCGCCGCCTCGGGTTCAGGCCGGCGTCGGGGGGAAGGGTGCTCAGCGGACGCCCGCCTCACCCCTGGGTCTGTCTCTGCCCCTGCAGGCCACGGGACGGACAGCCGGCCGGCCATGGCCATCTTCGAGCTGCTGGACTACATTGTGAATGAGGTGCGTACCCGGAGCCCCCGGCCCGGCTGCCCGGGGGCAGGGTAAGCCGTTTGGCTTGGATTTGCCCAAGTGACCCAGAGGAAGGAGCTGCAGGCACAGACCGGAGCTTGTCGCGGGGGGCAGGTGGTGGGACCGCTTCCCTCATACACACGAGTGAGCCGCGGGCACGGACGGGGGCGGCTCCTCGGGCCGGGAAAGGGCTGAGTAGGGCCTGACCCCGAGGCCCGCCCTCCCAGCTCGGTCAGGCCACCCTTCCTGGGCGTTGCGTGGGCCGCAGCGTGTTCTCGGTGGCCCTTTTGAGTCAGGGCGGAGAAACAGGGCGGCCAGGCTGCCTGGGGCCCTGGCTCGGTCCAGGGCCGGGCGTCCAGTGAGCAGCTCAGAGCAGGGTCAGTGATGACAGAACAGGACGGGCTGGCTCTGGTGACACAGCCCTGCACCTGGCAGCCACGCCCGGGCCCGGCAAGCACGTCTGTCCTCCCACCCCTGCTGGGTTTCACCGGGACCGTTGGCCCACAGCCTTCCCTGACAGGGGCTTAGCCCCACACACAGCTGTCCCCACCCAGGCGCCTGTGTCCTGGCTTCCCCAGCTTCCAGGCCCGAACCTGAAATGAGCTGCCCCCCTGGTGGTCCCAACCCCCTGCTGGAGACAGGTGGCCCAGACAGTACGACGCACGTCTGTAAAGTGGGGGTGGGCCCTGTCCTTTCCCCCCACGACCAGTTGTGATCCTGAAGCCAGACCTTTCCAACGAGAGCCCTGAAGAGCCTGGCCGAGTTGGCGGGGCGGGTGGGGAAGCCGCTGGAAGACGGGGTGGGGAGGGGTGCCTCTCTAGCAATGAACGTGAAAGGACTGGGGCCAAGGGCGGTGCCTTCTGAGGGTCCCTGAAAAGTGCTGTGCTGTCCCCGCGGACGCGGGACTGGCAGGCGCCTTTCCCCGTGATTCCAGAACCATCCTTGAGCATCTAACCCCCACCTCTCTGTCCGCCCACAGCCACCTCCCAAGCTGCCCAGCGGTGTCTTCACCCAGGACTTCCAGGAGTTTGTAAATAAATGGTAAGGTGCCACCGCCTCCAGCACGGTCTCGGGGCGGGCCGGGGCGGGATGCCAGGCCGCCAGGGGCCCCGCCTGCCTCCCGGGATGGCTGCCCACACCCTGGCCACCGACCCAGATGTGCACTTCCTTCCTGGTCCGGGGCCGGGCCCCTCTGCTGGGACCGATGGGCGCTGCCGGTGGGTGGCCGTGCCTGGGGGGCACCTGGAGCTCACCCGAGAACCCAGATGGGTTCCCTTTCGAGGCTGCTGAGTCATGGTATCCAGCTGGTGGCCCCATCTCGTCCCCAGAGCAGATGAGGATCACGGGCCGTTTGGAAATGATGCCATTCCCGCCTCACCTTCCACCAGCAAGCACCTCCGTTTCCTAGCCTCTCAAGCCCGTAACTGCCCCATCTTCCACGTGAGCCTTCCCAGTCGCTTTCTGGCCAGCGGCCACCTTTTCTTGCCGCGTCAGCCCGGGCCCGGGGCGCGCAGGCTCCAGAGCAGGAAGGGGGCCCGGAGCCGCCCCCACCCTCAGGGCCGTCCTGCACATCAGGATGAGCGGCCGGCAGGGCGTCGCACACAGCAGCACACCCGCTCCTGGTGGCAAAGCCACCACTGGCCCTTTGCACGACCGCTGGCCAGCATGCTGCAGCTCAAATCCAGTGACATGTCAGTGCTTCTGTACCCGTTGCGTTTTCTTTTGTGTTTGAACAGCCACCATTTGGCCTCAGGCTGGTTTGAGCAACGGTTCTTAGGGGCAGTTCTGCTTTTCTGAAGGAAAAAGTTCCATTTTGACACTGGGACTCCCAAATTGGGGACGTTCGTTAGCAGTGTAGCTGCATCGCCGCTGGGCCTGACGGAGCGGCAGCGGGGGCGTCCCCCCGGCCTCGTCCCATCCCTCTTGCCCTTCCGTCCCCGGGGGTCGTGCCCTCCCAGCAAGGGGGAAGCAGAGCAGACTCTGTGCCTTGCTGCATCCAGGCCTCGGACCGGCCAGGCGTGGGGACCGGGCTGACCCACCCCGGCTCCGCACGCAGGTCTCCGCGGCCACCGGCTAACGGCCCTGCCTTGTCTTCCCACCCCCTGTCCTCCTCTCCAGCCTCATTAAGAACCCAGCGGAGCGAGCCGACCTGAAGACGCTCACGGTGAGTGAGGCCGCGGGTTCCAGGCCCCGGGGGCGCTCCTCGGGGCGCGTGTGGGTCCCCTGCGGGTCTCCTTTGCTCCGAGCAGCCGTGGCGCCCTTGGCTCCCGGAGGAGCGGGATGGCCCAGCTGTGCCCGTGGTCCGGGTGTCCGCGCCTGGGAGTGCCGGGGCCCTCACGCTTCTGTGCGGCTCCCGCCTTGGGCCCGGCGGGCCCCACAGATCGGGGAGACCCGAGGGCCGCCGGCCTCCCTGTGCGGCGTCCCGTGTCCTCGAGAAGCCAGGTGGGCGTCAATTCCCCTTCCCCCCGGCAGGGTGGGGGCGGGTGGGGCTGCCAGCCCGTTGACCTGGGGCATTTCTGTCTGTGAATTTGACCCCCCCTGCCGCCGGGCCTCCTCGCCCGCAGCCACCCTGCCAAGCCTGGGGAGGCCTGCTCTTCAGGCACCTCCACGACACGAGACCGTGAGGGTCACACCTGCTGGTTCTCGGTCTCTGGGGCCGAGCGTCAAAACACGAGCGTCTCTCAATTATCGGAACGTGGTCTTTCCAGTAAGGGAGCCTCAGCCTTCCCGCTTCTTCCAGTTAGCCTCCACCTCAGGACCTTTGCAAAGGACAGTGCTTCTCCCCAGGGAACGTGTCCCGGGCCCCTCTCAGCTGGCCTGGCTGCTTCCTGGGGTCTCGCCTCAGCCCCTCCTCTGACGTGTCCCCAGACACCTTGCCCAGTCCCGCATCCTCTATTCGTTCTGGTGACGACCAGCGTCTCCTGGTCGTGGGCGCCACCGAGAACACCAGGCGGGAAGGGTCTGCGCGCGGGGACTCTTCCGGAAAGTCTTCCGACGCGGGAGGTGTCCCAGTGACGTGTGTTAGAGGCACGTGTGACGTCACCAACGTCTGTTCGTTGTAAGATACACGAAAATCTGTGAAACAGAGAAACTGATGGATGGCGGGGCCCCCGCGGCGCCCCCGGGACTCTCTGTCCCACTTGCACCCTGCTGTGGGACCGACTTTTTAACTTCCCTTCTCCCCCGTTCCTACCCCCTGCCTACAGGGCAGGCAGCAGCTGGGGGTCCGGGTGTCGCGTGAGGAGACCAGACCTGCTCCCGTGGACCCCAAGCCCCCGGGACCCACCCCTCCCAGCACG